ATCAATTTGGGCGCCGTATCTCAAGATACCCCGAATCGGAGAACAAGGGACCGGCAGGCGGCGGCGTCGCAGGACGAGGCAGAAGAGAACAACGCGTCAGAGGAGGAAGTGACAAGGGAGAGAACGACGAGGGTGGGACGACCGCGAGGTGGCATGAAGGTTGCAGCGAGAATAGGCGAGAGACTGCGAAGAGAGATAGGAAGAGGCAGACTCCCTAGGGTGGGCGACGGATAGCGCACCACACACCTCTCCTTAAAATCCCTGTGTGGTGGCGGCGTGCCGTCCTCCCATCCCTCCCTTGGGTTGTCTGTTTTCTTTCTTTCTTTCATACCCCGAATCGGAGTCAGGCACACTTAACAGCTGTGTACGTGAACGGCAGGGGGGTGGTGGCTTGGGCCGAAGGGGGCTCGGGCTTGAGGCGTGGGGAGGTGGTGGTGGTGGAGGGTTGGGCTGGTGACCGGTGCTGGGAGAGGGAGGGGTGGAGGGACGAGGTCCGGGCTGGGCGGCTTCTGCTGCTCAGCGAGGGCGAGGACCTCGAACCCCTGCTGCGCAATGGTGGGTGGGGCGGGGTTTCCCGCCCCACCGGCCATCGGCGGGGTAGGCGCGCGGGTGGGGGGGGTTGGGATGAGGGGGAGTGGGATGGGGATGGTCTTTTCGGCGAGCACCACGGTGCTCGCGGATTCGACTGTCCCCCTGATTGGGGGTCCGACGACGGTTACGGTGAGGACGACGGCTTCTGAGGAAGCCGTTGCCCGTGCCTTGCCTGTCGCGAATTGTGCGAGAAAAAGAATGTAATTTGGGTTGTTTATTCTTTCTTTCTATTAGGCAGGGGACACTGATTTTACAACAAAGAACTTCGCACAGCACGATCACGCGACAGAAAAGGCGCGGGCGACGGCTTCCTCAGAAGCCGTCGCCCCCAGGAGCAGTCACACGACTCTCCCACTCCGCCGCGTCCCCGCCCCTGCGTGGGAGCCTGGGAGTCGAGAAAAAAGAAGTTTACACGAAACTTCCCTGTGCGTGCGAGAAAAAGAGTTTCACAACGAAAGGCGAAAAAGAATTTAAAACCGACCCCCAGACGACGGGGCGTCTGGCGGATCTGCGATCTCTCGGGTTTGTCGCGCCTTTCACAGAGAAACAAAAAGGCCCGGCCCTATGTCGCATTGCGCATGCATTACTCATTACTTCTCCGCCGGCAGGATCTGTTCTGACACGGCGAGAATCTCTCAGATGACGCGCTGCTCGAGCGCGTACAGCAGGTAGGTTTGCATCCTTCTCTGCGGCGGCGCGTCGTCGGCGACGGCAGAATGGTAGAGCGTGCTCCACTCCCAATGGGGCAGCGGCAGCACGCGCCAGCCGAAGTGGCGCAGCTGCCGCCGCCGAAGCAGCGTGTGGCCGGTCGGCTGCCGGTTGTGAAAGTGCCACGGCGCGTCGACCATGACGGCAACCTACAGGCACAGGAAGTGTCTCGGAAGTGTCTCGGAGGGGTCTCGGCGCGTCGACCACGACGGCAGCCTTCTCGCCCCGCCACTCGACGACGAGGTCGAGCGTGTACCCCTCGTCGGTCTGCAGGTGCTCCGCCGGCTCGAGCCGGAGCGAGGCGAGCGCGCTCAGCACCTCCTTGTGTAGCCGCGACGGGCGGCCGCCTCGGCTGGCAAAGGCGGCGTGGAACCGCGCGCGCAGCTGCTCGCTCGGAAGCCCCTCAGCCCGGCCGCACTCACGCTCCAGCCACAACGCCCACTGGTGCAGCTGGACGAGCGAGCCGTCGTTGAAGCCGCCGCCCAAGCTCTCGACGTGCCGGCCGAAGCCCTCGTCGAAGAGGGCCGGCGCGGTGCGGTGGTCTGCCGCCGCAAAGGCCCACGCGACATTGGCAACCTATATGGGGGGAGATATGGAGGAGAGATATGGGGGAGATATGGGGGAGATATGGGGGAGGTCGGGGGGGAAAGGCACCTCCAACGGCTTAAAGAAAGTCAGCCGCTGCGCCGCGACCACCGCAAGGCCGTCAAAGAGAGCCGGCGCGGGCTGGCCGACCGTCGCGAAAGCCCACGCGAGCGAG